TAAAATTGACTATGTCTTTCTATTGAACTTCCGAAACACCATACATTTTAAATATGACATAATTCATTTTTTATTCTTCGTCACTGTACTCAGCTTTAGAATAACCAAACGTAATTGTTGATAAGTCATAGCTGCGATCTAATGGAATTGGTATGCGTGCAAGTTAGTACTATTTAATATGCTTGTGAATTACAATGAAGTCTTAAATAATAATACGTAAATATCACCAGTTCTTTTTGTTTTAGTGTGAATATAAAATGTCACATGGTTCGGGATGATTGTTCATCGTAATATAGAAGGAAAGAGAAATTTATCAGAGAAGAAAACAAAAGAACTACGTAGTCATGAAATGTTTCATCGTCACAAACATAATTAATGTAGCTATTATGAAGTGAAAAAAAGTCTACGTTAAATGGAAATTAAATTCAGAATGTCAAACAAACAATGAAAGCTTGTTTTATCTTTCCCCATCGCATTTCTTTTTCACGAACTGATTATAGGTTCGTTTTCAGTCTCTGATTTATATCATAATGGTGATTCAATTACATATTTTGTTCACTTTTGTGATAGTATTTTGTTTTGGAAACATGAGTATGCATGGTTACTATGTTGTCTAGCTAAGTCTTCGTTGAGTTAAATTGAGGGATACAGTAACTGCTTATTTTTCGCATCACACATAATTCATCAGCAAGGCATAATGCTACAAGTTCGTGCTGAGCCTTCGAGTGATTCTTTATCAATTTTCATCGGGTAAAAATTCTATGCTTTTGCCATACTTGATGAAATACGATTGAGTAATATTAGCGTGCATCCAATCAGCTAAAAGTCCCTGTTGCATTGCAGGATCGAATGAGCCAAAGATGCTATCTCATGGAAATGCACAATGCTTTTCTTGAGCTGTCTAAACCGCATATAAAAAGTCTAGTTTAAATGCATCTGCAACTTCGTTTCTTCCGTCGTGTATAATATAGCTTATATTAAGTTGAATTCAATTTTTTTCGATTTGAATATCAATCGACTCCATAAATATCTGAAACTGAAACTGATTCAAATTGAAATATGTGCATGTGTCATCACAATAGATAAGAGAGAAGAACATATATGGAGAAAAAGGCGAAGACTAGAAAACATGGGGTAGAGAGAAAAATGACGATGCATTAGTGATTACCTAATAAATGTTTTCAATACGGATGTTTTATTGTCGACTGCTTTCCATCCTTGGAAAAAGAAGATTGTAAACGTAACAAATGAAAGATCATCGTTCTCAAAAGTGTTTTCCGATGGTGAAATAGTTTGATTACTTTTTCTGTTGAAAAATAAATGGTGTTTTGTACATCGAGTGTCGGATACCAAAACTATATTGAGGTGCTTGCTGTTTATTTCTGAAATTAATAGATCCATAAGCGCCCGGACCCGGTGTTGACCAAGATTTGGGAGAATCGAATCGTAAACCAATTGTGTAAGCAGGCGATGATCGAAACATCGCCTTCATCGTACCACCTATGTTGTATGCAGCTGGTCCTATGCAAGATGAAATGTTCTTTGTCTAAAGATGAATGATGATATGTAAGTCTCCTACCAGGAGTAATATCGGGTGTCAGATCATCATTGCCTGTTGAAGAAATTACATCGGTTGGCAAGTATCGTTGGCTAAGCGATGATTCGTCATGAGATTTCTCATGTTCGAATTTAGAGGGATCAACTGGCAGTGTTCTGTGAACAGAACGTGGTCTATCAAAGTTACTTTCATCAACATCGGATAGTAAGTGAACAGGATCTGTCGTTGAATGTTTTTTTGGATTAGGTTCATGTGATTTCGTCGTGTTGAATGCCATATTTAGGACCTATTGGTGTCAATAGAAAGAAAAACATAAACCTCTTGTAATAATATTCTCTATTCAAAGTAATATTAAACCAGCAGTTTCTAACCGTTCGCAAATGAAAATACTACTCATACTCGCACATGTCATACGTGCACGCCTCTATGCTTCTTTTTTCTTTATTCGCTCAGTTTTGTTTACGGTCAAAACAAGGCTTTTTGATAATAACAATAGAACAGTGAAAAAAACAACCGAACACACTTGATTCCTTACTGCGTTGATTGTTGAAAAAATGAAAAATAAAGTCAACTCTTCAACAAAAAGTGTCCCGCGTCTTCATAAGTATTGTTCTATTGCTTTCTACCAACGACAAAAGTCTTGAGAATCGTATTTTTGGTGCAACTTTTGATAGAGATAAGACAGAGAGTTGCGGTTTTCACCGTTGGAAAGAGGAGATGAAAACGCATGGAAGTGTATGTTACAGACTTTTTGACCTGGTTCTGCTAAGGTTTTTCAATTCAGCTTTCAGAAAAACAACGTATTCGATAGGAGACTACGGTGAATTTTTAATCATCTGATGTGCATTGAAACCGCCAATTGAAGATCTATAAAACTGCACAACGCTCAGATGTTTAGCTTCAATTGTTCAGGAGTTATAGGTATTCTACTCGAAACGCTAAACCGATTTTCCAGCAATTCCTGCGAAAAAAAATCAGTTTTGTCCTGTTTTCTTTTTGATAAAAGCGATTTTTCTGCTACCTTTTTTTAGAAAATTGATTTGAAAAGCGACAGAAAACATATTAGAAAAATCTGTCATATATGGTTCGATGCGTCTTCATCTCCTCTTTCCAACGGTGAAAATTGCAACTCTCTGTCTTATCTCTATCAAAAGTTACATCAAAAATACGATTCTCAAGACTTTTGTCGTTGGTAGTTTCGTTCTATTTCTCTTTTATACAACAGAATCAATGAATTTATTGTACGACTTGAGTTGGCTAATCTAAGCTCCACTAATACAAAGCTTGTTTTGGCAAAAGAGAAGCTATGGATTTGAGTGTTAATCTTGACGTTAGTGTCGCCTTTCGTTCTAGTGCTACAACATAGGCACCTAGTTCCAAGAGCATTTCTTGTACTGATCTTATATTTGTATCTATTGTTAGAAGCAATAAAAAACATTGTACTTATGCGATAAAATATTACTTCTTGCTGACGAATGAATGGCCTGTGGTGGACTGTCTTCACAATTTCTAGTTTTTTTCTCGAGCAATGAAGTAATGTTTTACATGTATATCTTCTCATTGATTTTACAACTCAAGCATAAATGCTAATCGTATTTCATTATCTTAAAAGTTTCAATTTTGATAGTTGTGAGTTTGTTTGCAATGCCACTCTATTTGGATTTCAGAGTGGACTTCAAGTTGATAGATGATGATATTTATTCAACATTCAATGAACGATAACAATGAAATGTCGCTCTGATAAATTGCTCTATATGCGCATTTGTCTCAACTGACCTGGTATTACTGATAGCTGTTTATTGTTCTTGATTTCATTATTAATCAATATGATCAGATTAAGTCTTAGACGATACAAGTTCAAAGCTTTGAGAAAGAATTGTAAAGCATAATCGAATATGTCGTATTTATTATAGACAACACTCATGAAAGCAAGACAGTTAGCTTCTCTCTTGATTTTGCAACATATTTTGGTGTTTCATACTTTGATCTTGACCAGATGCAGTTGAAAGCTTTACTTTCTTAGAAAATGATCTGCAAAAACGCGTCCAACCTCACTTATTTTCTCATTCGTCTTGTCATTCTTTTTTTTTAATTCTTGCTGCGTTATTAGAAATGAGAAGAAAGAAAAAGTAGTATAATAATATGTTTGTCCAAAAAGCAAAAGCAAACATTGTTACTTTTTCGCAAAATGAATATGTGTTATTGTTCGTTTACTGTTCTCTATGTAATTTCTTTTTACAACATATGCCAGAGAGAACAAAAAAAACATACAAGAGTTTGGAGTAGGATGGAGAAATCATAAAGTTGAAAATAATAAAATGTCTGCCTCAAAATAAATAAACTCAGCAAGCGAGTTTTCACAGGGATATTCGACACAAATGTTTCGTTCAACGGACGATGTGTTCATTGACATCAATTGGCTTCGTGGTAGATGATAAATAAAAAGCTATATTCAAAAGTGAAAATATGCATTCATTGAGACTAAACATAGCCAATTAAATTTTTATCTGTATCTTATTTTTATCGCTCATATATTTCATCTGTTCAAAATTTTCTAAGAAGACTTGAGTGTGGATATGAATATTATTTCTGCCTTTAGTTCAAGCGCATCAACGCTCACATCGACTTCCGAAAACATTTGTTTGAAAGCTGGTGCCACTTTAATGCCTTCATGTTGTGATCAGAATAGGCCTTGAGACACAGTTAAAAATCACTGCTTCTAACGTATACAGTTCTGAAAAGCTCCATTCAATTTCCAAAACTCTTACAGACTTACTGTCTTGTTTTCTCTTTTGCAAGTTTTACCAAACTAATAATACGGTAGAAGAAACATTATAAGAGAGAACTTTTTCATCAACGATGCAACGAAAGAAAAATTTCTAAGTAGATTGAATCATAGAGATTTAAAAAATTGTATTCGTATAGATGTTTAACTCGAAGCTTGAAAACAGCGAAATCACCAAATCATGGATTGAAAATATCGACAAATGAGGATGTCAAGACATTTTCAGTGTTTCTCTACATACAGCTTTTATCATAAGGAGACGAAATTTAAAAAAATTACCAACTTCACCTTTTTCATTCGCCAAAAATTACTATTCCAAATAAAAAAAGAACGGTTCAGATCGGTTCGGTATTCGGATATTCAGGAATGAGCTTGGATATTTTTTCATAGACTTTTGTATGACTTATTATATTTGAACATAGTTATTAATCACAGAAAGGTGTTACATAAAAATATCTTGATTTATAGGGAAAAAAATTAAACGATTTTCGGGAACATTCATTTTTAGTATTGTTCTTGCTGCTGATTGCCATGGAACACGGCAGGATAAAAAACGGAAAGAAAACATTTGTTAGGACACTACTGGAATCTCTGTCTATCTCGTGTTATAAAGCTGTGATACTGCATTGATTTGAGTGGCATTGACAGAGGCTGGCTCTATTGCAAGTGGTATCGATAAGAATATCTGTTGTAAGCAGACAATGGTGATCTCCGATCTTCGATATTAGATTTATTTTGTAATCCTATAGTACCACCATAGCCAGATGATATGGGGCTGCTATAAGAAATTCCAGTTGAACCGCTGTAGCCATGTCCTCTCGTACGATCATAATTATATGGCATTATAGAAGCATACCCAGATTGCGGCACATTACCGTATTTAGTTGGCGTCACATCATTGTAGCTAGAACCCCATCCGTACCTGATGGTAGATCCTGTCTCACCACTATGGTCATACAATGTCGGTGTTGTTCTCGATCTCGAACGCTCATTTGGTTGTGATGTCAAACGTGTTTCATGGACAGTATATGAAGGCTCTCCTGCGGAACGTATTGGTTCTTTTACTCCCAAATAGCTAGAAGGAATCGCTTTGAGTGTAGCAGTGGGTGCCTCTATATATGTTGATCTGGTATCTGATACCGAACCAAATGCAGTTGTAATTTTTGAAGGATTTTGCGATTTAGCTTGAGAGTTAGACCCTAGTCCACTGAAAATAGAAGATTTCGGTTGCCACAACTCTCCTTCATAAACGATCCACTTGCTTAAGCAGCTAATAAACTTGTGTGCATAGACGCGTTGAACCCATTTTTGGGGCAGCCTGTCATAACCATAGCAAGCGCCAGCTAATTGGCCATAAATAGCAGCAGTTGTGTCAGTGTCATCTCCAAGATTAACTGCGTCAAGAACGCCCTTTTCAAACGAATTTTCATCGTAGTTAAAGGCCCATAAGGCAGCTTCAAGAGCACTAACGATGTACCCTTTACCTCGAATACCATCACGATATCCGCCAGGTTTCTTGAACGATCCTTGAGCAACATTCATAACCTCTTGATTGAGCGGCTTGTTATTAAACCATGCTTTGTGGTTAAAATAAAAGTTGGGATCCAGTAATTGCTCTTTTTTTTCACCTTGGAGAGCAGCCACGATCAAAGCACCATAATAACGACAAGCATCATAGGCTTTTTGATCACCATGAGTAATTTTACCACTAATTCCAGAAAATTCGACGGCGTCATTAGGATGTCGGTAGAAAAACAGAGGGACGGGAGCTAGTCGCATAAGTGCTCCGTTACCAGCTGCACCATCTTCACTGCAATTCACGTCAAATAGTGTAAGCAGATTCGAGTCTAAAAGATAATCTAATTGTTCAGCAGGAATTCCATATTTGATAGCAAACGATTGTTGACGACTCTCGAATTTACGCAGAGATTGACTGGTGGCAGAACCAATATCGAAACATTGTCCAGTCGATGACATGTAACCGTGTCTGAACCACCACTTGTACCGAACTAGCTGATCATAGGGAACGAAATCGCGACGGGCTATCAATGAATTGGCCAAGCAAAGACCCATAGACGTGTCGTCTGTGAACTAAACAAACGAAAGTTCTTGGAAATGGTACAATCAACAATCTCTGATATATGTTTAAGGCGCATATTTTATTCATTTTTTCACAGTTGCGCCCAATATCTCTACAGCTCAGAAGTTTTTTCTCACAAATTAGCTGAAAAATCTATTTTAATAAAAAACATTTGGCAACAGGAACTGATAGTACTTAAAGGTCGTATAAACTGAAATGTGGACGTCTTACCTTCTCCCACATGTACAGTCACACCCACACTCATTCTCAAAATTGAGAGGAAAGAAAATTGCCCCACCACAACATTTTTCTTTCCACACAGTTCGAATTTTTGTATCCAGAATCATTAGAGTTTAGCAACAAAGGAGTTAGGAATTCTATATAAAGAGGAAAAACCTTACTTGTCCTTTTTTGAGACCCCAAGTCCCTCCCTCTTGCAAATCTTGCACAGGATGTTCCACCAAATATTGATGCGGCCGAAACTCAACGTGAGCTCCAAGTGCATCTCCCAAAGCCATACCAAACATTGATCCCTTCACACGATTTAATATGGCATGATCGACACTTCTCGGAGGATCTTGTAGCTTAGTCTCAAGATCTTCAGGAGTCATGATCGATCGTTTGCTACTATCATGATAGTGGCAATCGAGCCAAGATTTGTCTGAACGAAAATATCCATTATTTTTTTCGACACGGTCACTCCTTGATATAGCAGGCGTTTCTTCAATACGAGCATTATTGACTGTATTTTTGTGAATAGAAGATATGTCCGGTTGATGTATTTCAGGTTTCCATGTCGATTGGTTTGATGACGGTTTATGAGAATCTAAACCAAAACCAGAAGACATTAATAGCATAGGAGGCAAATATTCTTCCTATAGGTGTAGTTGTGGGCGTCTTACCTTCGCCCACACCTACAGTCACGTTCAGATCCTTTACTATTTTTCAAGAACTAAGGAGCACTTATATCTAAAAAACAGCTATCACTCATTGATGTCTACCCTTATCAAATAAGATGGGAAATAATGAGAAAAGGTAGCTTTTGTATGATGCTGTAACTCTACCTTGTACGGCATTTATTGTCTTATCTCTAGATTCTATGAATTCTGTTCTGTTTCGAGCGGTCAGATGTGTTGTCGAGAAAAAATTGCTCAATCCCAAAATAACCTTACCATATGATTGCGCTGATGTCATTTCATTGTTTGAGTGAATCATAGTCGAACTGAAACTTTGGTCTGTTCGATATGCTTTAGCCATTGACGATGAAGAACCCAGAGACTGAGCTAAGTGCCGATTTTGAGACATTTCTTTTAGATAAACTACTTTTAATCCATTTTTTAGATCTTCTTTATCTAACACTAGTAACCGTGTGCCAGGCATCAACAGAACTTCATCCTGCATTCGATCGTCAGAATAATTGCGTATCGCTTTGCCATTGATACATTCAATTTTGAGTATAGTGTACGTACTGTGTGCATCGAGAAAGCCTTCAACTACTGACTTGGTACCAGTGCACGAACTGAATCCTGACCAGATACAATAGTTTTGGTAATAAGCAGTAATGTCGCCACGAGCGCATCGCCAAATGGTGCCGTTCACTAGTGGTAATTTATTCAAAGCAGTAACAAAGAGCTTAAGATAAGAAAACCATGGAAGGAGCTGGCTTTGTGTTTGAGAGCGAAGGGCTCTATTCAGTTGGAACGAAATAGTTTGATCCACTTTCGAACACCACATTGTATAAAGATGAATGGCAGCTGCCTCATCAACAGTAAGATCATATACTGAACGGAACACCTTGCTTTTTGCCATCCGTACCATGTTGTCGCAGTTGTACATCGACGGTGGAAGCTTTTTGGTTGCTTCTTCAAGTGTCACCAATGGTTGGTTTTCATAATCATCGATAGGTGGTGATTTTAGTGAATACTCTTTATCAACATCAAAAAAACGTTCAGCCATATCCATCTCTCGTATGAATTCGTTGCGTATATAAAATACGACTGCCTTTTACTTCTTTTCTTTTCGAAATGAATTTCACTGTGTTTATTGTTGACACTGTTGCCAAAAGGAAAAAAGCAAACGAGAGAGAGCATGTGAGGAAGGAAAAAAACATTGCTGAAGCTCTTATATTACTGCGTTGCACATCGGTATTTGTTGAGTGACGAATGTTGTGGATTTCTTTTCTATTCTTTTAATGTGTTTTTAGCGTCGCATTCTACTTATTCATTCCTACCGGTCTTAAAACAGTCTGTAAAAAGTTTTAATTATTTACGAACCTACAAAGCAATTACAACAGGCCTCATAAAGAACTTCTTATCTTCTTTCTTTAGTTATCTGGACACAAATGACTTTTTTTTTAGAAAAATTGCATTAGTAAGCGGCAAAACCTATATTGACACAGTAAAAAAAGCAAAGAAAAACAAAAAAATACGTCGCAAATACACAGAAGAAAAGAAATAAGTTAAGGTTTTTATCTTGCCTCCTGTTAATAAACATCGAATTTTATGCAGCGTTCTCTTCCGATACTGCTTGATAAAATCCAACATGTTTTTGAAAACATATTCGACGACTGATACATAGCGAAGAGGAGGGATCTGATGACATGGGTTTCCCTTCTTTCTTTCAGAAGTGAATTAACAGCGTGTAAAGTGCTGAGTAATTGAGGCATTTTTGAATGCGAAAAGAATCAAAGTGTATATCGAGCTGTATATTTATGAAAGGTGTATGATTAATAATATGGTTTAAAACAAAATTGATTTTCAAACATCATCAAATGACGAATTTTCAATTCATCTGTATACTAGAAACAGTAAGAATAGTTTATCTGACTGTATGAATACAAATAATTTTCTGACATGTGTTAAATCACAACAAAGATGCGAACATAAATGAATTACAGGTTTTATATTCAGATATTATATTGCGACATCGTATTCATACTAATTTGGCATGGAGAATGAAAAGAACAATTTAGAAAACAAAGAATTCGGAAGTATTGTTTTTATATTTTGAAAGAAAATTTATTAAAGATAAATAGGTTTAAATGATTGTGGAAGAATGTTAGTCTCGTCAGAATGCTAATTTTCAATTGATCTTTGGAAATCAAACTTTTACGAATTGCTTACAAGTTCAAGATTTCTAATCAGCTGCAAACTTGAGATAATAATATTCTTCTGTAAATCTTCAAAAAGTCGATTCGGTAGATTTTTAAAAAAAAAGGATAAGGATAGTCGAATTTCTGCAAAGATGATCGAAGATTAGATTACGATTTATATATAGATTTGTCCATAAATGTTCATTCTTTTTTTTATCAATTAAAATATTGATGTCGAAACGTTCGAAAATAATTTTTGAAAATCGATGTTGAAAAGACTTTCTAGATTTATATTCAAAAGTATTTCTATCATTTCTTATCACTGCATAAGAAGCATGTCCTTAAACAAGAATTAAATGTCATTGGGTGGGATATGAGTATTAATTACATAGGCGTTATTAATATAAAAAAGAACAAAGTAAACAATTAGTATAATTTGATTGTTGAAATTTAATTAGTCAAAGTCGACGATGACCGGTGCGTCTCATGTGGGATTTTTTCTCGTTTTGAATCATTAGAGCTTCGAAATGAATCATATTGCTACTAGTTTCATCCAAAATATCACTCACATCGAATGTTGGCAATTCAGGATCAATAGACCATGAGTGACTTCCGTGAGAATTTCATCGCGTTGTTTTATTATTTTTTCAAAACCATAAGAATCTTTGTCCAAAACGATTGAAACTATCGACATGAAGAAACAAAACCGTTCTTGGTGGTCAATTGCATACATTGCCCTATCGAGTTGTTCATTATTGGGATTAATTGAGAAGAGATAATCGAATTGTTTGTTTCCTAGATCCTTGTGTAAATTGTCAAGGAAGTGGTCGGTAGCCTCGATAGCCAATTTAGCCGTTTCACGACTAAAGCATATTCTCAGTCGAGATAAACTGAAAAAAATTCCTTACTGCAAGTAATAATGAGGTGAATAGAGTCGTGAGGATGTATCTTTATTGATACCTCTGATAGGTGATTGATGAGATGACGAATCAAATATCGAACCGTGTGAACATTTGTCAACATCAATCGGTTTCTTTACGGATTCGTTCTTTTCATTGAACTGATCTGATACATAACGACTTGTCAACACAAGCCTTGTTCATTGATTTCAGATACAATATTATTCCTGCAATCGTAGTATCCCAATAGACAAGATTTGGTGTATATTTTTTTTGTAATAGATTCTAAATAAAACGAAAACTGCAATTTATCATATATTTATGGTATTCATACATATTCGGTCACTATCTTTGTACATCCAGTACGGATATATGTTGGCTTGTTTCTATCAGCCACCCCTAGAGAAAGTACTGAGTTCAGGGTACCCATGTACTGAGAAAGCCCTAGCAGGGTACCCAATATGGGTACTTCAAAAATTCTCAGTAATTATACTGATGTAGGTAGTGCGTGTGGTTCCCATAAAAGTACGCTCACTGAACAAGTACTTGTATGGGTATTCGCATCTGTAATTTTACTGAGGAAAGGTATGCAGGGTACCCTATATTTGTCGCGTTCTGTGTGGCGACTATTCATTCACCGTTTTCTTTTTCACGCACGGCTTCATATAAACAACTGGGTAAGACATAAGAAATTAATCTATTTTCTTACTAATTTTTTCTAGATTATTTCTTGACTATTTCTTAGTCGAGAACATGTCGATCTTGATCGTAGATCAAGAGCAGAGTACTCCGAAGTGGTCTGATGGATACCTGGCCAACTCAAGTCGGGTCAGATCCCGGCAGTGTACCTGCTAATTTTTTGGAATTGAAAAAACTAAATTGAATAAAATCGAAAAAAAAGGTAGTGAATTGCTTCGAGAGAAACAAAAATTAAAAAAAGTTAAAGTTCAGGTTCGATCCTGAACATACTGAAATTTTTGTAACAGGGAACCTAGAAGTACTATACAATGGTACCCAATTGAGTATCTGATCAGTACCTTCATGTACCCAGTTACTACACATTTTGTAGCAGGGTACTTGTCAAAGTACCATTTAGGTACCTGAAAGTACTTTCAAGTACTTTGGTATCCAAAAGTTCCTGTGACATACTGGTAACAGGGTACTTTTTCGGGTACTCTTAACTCAGTACATTCTCTAGGGACTCGAACAATATTCTCGTGAAGACCTATACGACCGTTTATTTCAGTCTTTCCCCTTTCGATCCAATTGGAATGCGTGTAAAAATCCTGAAGTGTATGTAGAATATTACCGATTCGTTTTCGCGCTGTCGATAAATCGTTTTTTTTAGGTCCATTGCATCATTGATGACTAAACAGCGAAATCATGCTTGTCTTTCGTATCTTATAGAATGATCTACTTTTTCTTCTTAAGTTGATAATTCTTCGATTACTATCGAAAAATAATTCAGCATTGAAATGAGCCGATGGTAAGTTTTCCGTAGAAGATCTCAAATCAATTAGTACATTTTCCATTTGAATTTGATCGGTAATTATTTTCAATGACGATGAATACAGTCTTATTTGCTCCAAAGTCAAATGAGGGTAAGCAAGTCAATAAAGTGAATCGATGGTATGCTCAGCTGTGAAATTTACAATATCGATATCGACATTGTTCTTTAATCGGGTATCGAAAAAGAATCGAGCAAGAATTCTTAAAAAATCAAGTTGAATAATTTCACTGCGAGGTAAGCCTCGATTAAAAACAAGGAAACAATGCAAAATGAATTGAAGATGCAAAAAACTTATTTTTTCCAACATCACTAAACAATCCGATCAATGGATGCAGGACGAACGCTTTCGGGTTTGAAATTATTACAAGTAAAGACTAGAAAAAAATTATTCATGTTTGTTGTGAATAAATCGTTTTTAACTTTTAGCAAGGACATTTATAGAGACGAATGGACGAAGGTAATATTTATTCCTGCTCTATGATTCGAGTCCAAATTACACTTCTCAAGTAAATTTACAGGGCGCATATCACGAGAAAACTCACTTTACTTATGTTTGATTTTATGTTTGATTGCCTAACATGTATTGCTAATAAAGACGGTTTTATAGTAACTAAACATTTATTAATTGAAGATTCATGTCATTATTTATTGACATACGACTCATATTTAAGCAAATGTGTAGTATTCTCGTTCATTCTACATTCTCCTTGATTTTGTCCTTGTAAAATGATAGCTTTACTAATATAAAATACTTTTTTTGATTCAAGACCAAGGACAGAAATTCAGTTGTGATGAGCATAGAAATTGCCTACAGATCACACGCATATTCTGTAATTCAAATAGTTCGGTACTGGTCGAGAAGCAATTGATATTTATACAAGAACTTCTGAAAAGAATGTCTAACTTCAATGCCTTGGGTAACATTATTCAAGTACCATAAACATGTATTTATTGCAAATAATTCTATTCAAATAAAAAAGAACAAAAGTTCGATGAATAATTCAAAAACGAAAGTAATTTTGCGATCTACAACTTTTCACCGTTCGAAAGACAGTTCAATGTAGAAGTTCGCTAGTGTCAAAATTTGCTTGCTAGATGCTTAAACACTTTTAAACTTGAGTTAAGTTTATTTTGACGAAGACTGTCGATTCAATGATCGCTCATATACAAGTATGTAACTTTGTCTCTGTCAAATAAAATTTGATTGTATCATTTTCTCTTAAATACATAGAGGGTGTGGGTGTGGGTTTTTGTCAGTTTGGTGTGATTAGTCTGCAGATTGACATCCATATCTAACAATTCATTCAAATGGACAAGGTTTAATTGTTTGTGACACTAATTATATGTTTCGATTATTGGTAGATCTGCTGAATTGAAAACTATTAATCAAGTGTTTATTGATTTTAATACATCAGCATTTTTATCTATTACTGGAGAAACTATTATTGATGGAGGAATTGATAAGCGTCTAAATAATTCAACTTGGTATCAATAAAAAATAACCTATCTGAAAAAATAAAAAAATAATGTCATGTCATATATTTTCAAATTGACAAGATTTATTTGTAAATGCTTCTTCATTGATCATAACAAATGATCGTTGTAACTCAAATTAGTTATCTAATCTTATTTAAGGTAAAAAATCTTCAATAGTTATGATTGAACTTCACTGCTGAATAAAACATTCTTAAGAACTTTAAAAAAACTCATAAAGATAGTGAATTTAATCAGAAGCTTAAAGATTTTTCAAATCATTAGTTAATTTCATTTAATATTCTACTTGGGATTATAGTCAAAATTTTGATTACAAATAAAATAAGAAAATTTTTTTTTCATATTTCGAAATATTTAAGTATCACTAGTATGTTAACAAAAGAAACATTCAATATTTGAAATCAAGTTCAAAGCACAACTAATCACTTGTATATGCATATATATTGTATCGAATTTTCACTGATTGACAAAGTTGAAATTTCGTCATTAACCGTCACAGTTGCAACTTTGTTCGTCCGGTGTATGAAACTTCTTTGAAATTCATATTTATTTGTCGAAGAAAACAGTTACTGGAAGAACATTCTATAATTCTTATTGTCAAGCTGTGATGATGTTGGACAGAAAATGTCAATCATAAGAAGATAAGTATAATCTCAAATGAAAGAAAAATATGATTATCAACTGTTAGTGGAAGCGAATGATAATCTATTGAAAATTGTTCAGTTTATTCTTTCGATATTGGTAGAGTTTAATATATCAATTCAATATATTCGCCTAAAATGTGATTAAACTGATAAGTTTTTTATTTGAAAGCATATCATATAAACAATATAGTGCTCATCCGACGTATTCACTGAATCTTTCCTGAAACAGAAGTTCGATCATATCCAATAACGTGTCTTTTCAAAACGATAATAAGATTTGTAATCAGAGCTATCAATTATACTGATTTTAGTGCTACTCGAAACCATTAGTCGATTCGAGTTGAATGATTTTGCATCGATTACTTTAACTAACGTTTTACAGAAATATTCTTATTCGAAATTCGCATATGATGTTTTCTATGATTAAATTTTCTCAAAAATTTCAAAGACTTTTAATTAAAATATCAAACACGGTATAAAAACAGCAACCAAAAAGACTATAATGAAATCGACTCTAATCGCCAGCTCTTCCTTTAAAATAATCGTTATTTAAAAAAAAGAAACTATGCTGACTTATTGAATGTGCAAGTTCCACTAGTGATTATTTTCGAGTGGCTTTGACAAACATACGTATGTATTTCAATGGTTTTGTGCAATAGAACTTTTTCTTTCAATCAGAAGTATAATAAGTTGGAAAAGTGTGTGGAAGCTTACGATGAAAAATCATTCACACGTCGTCGAAAGAATACAACAGAAAAAACCAACGAAAGAAGTACAAATTTTGTTCGTTCTGTTGACTCAACAAAAATAGTTGCTGCAGACTTTGATTTCGTAACACGAGTGAAAGTGTGAAAATTCCCACTTAGTTTTTCCCAATATCAATACCATAATAATCATTATAAAAAGATTGACAATTATACAAGTTTTGTTACAAATTCACATCGAGATGGGTATCCCGTTCTTCTCTACTTTCATTGACGATTTTCTTTTCGCAACAAACAATCCATCAAAATCAGTTAATCTAACCAATGAGAATGTTATCATCGATGGGGCTACATCCATTTTGCGGACATTTTTTTCAACCAATTAAGAGAAAATGTCCGCAAAGTAGAATCGGGGGGAGAGACACAAATGACCGCACGTTGGAAAATGTCCGCAAAGTGGAATCAACAGAAAGAGACAGAAATGACCGCATTACAGAATGAAGACAAAATTTATTATGTGAAAAAAATACAGAAAAATTGATTGATGAAAGACAGTAAAATATCTAATTTTGTGGAGGTTCATAATCAAGATCATCCTTGCCAGTTGTATCGAATACGTTGATATATCGATAACAAAAAGACCGCAGGGTGTGGGTGGGGTATGGACGTGGGTGTGGGTGTGGGGTGTGGGTGTGGACGTCGGTATGGGTGCGATATGGGTGTGGACGTGGATGTGGGTGGGGTGGGGGTCTTTGTTTATACACATCCACACCACTCCCACACCCATACCCACCCACACTCCACACCCCACACTTCACACCCACACCCTCATTGTTTACGATGGACATTTTTTTCATTTGATTTATCTAACTTGATTTCGATTACTTTAAATACATTCGTTTACAAAAGCGTTGAAAAATGGCCTCGACGGTGCGTGACATTGAAAACTAGACTAGCTCGAAGGACGTGATATTCATTCTTAAATCGAGCTACCTACACTGATCACCCTGAATATATGTCTTCGCTTGTTTCCATAATGCGATCATTTTTGTCTCTCTATCTATCGATTCCGCTTTGCGGACATTTTCCAACGTGCAGTCATTTGTGTCTCTCCCCCCCCCCCCCCCCCCCCTACTTTGCGGACATTTTTTTCCTCCAATTAAGGAAAAATGACCGCAAAGTAGAAGACACGCATCGATGGATATTCTTTCTTCTATTTTATTTACGATCAAACACGGAATGAAGATCAATCGAAATCGATGGTTCAAAGAGTGACTGCTACACAATTTGGTTACGATGGTCTTTGGGAGAAATTGCGAAACAGTTTGAAACAATTCAAAGAAAAATGTGCAAATGTAGTCGTCGTATTTGATGGTGTTTCGAAACCCAATAAACATCGACGAGTTGATCCTGAACGAGCTAGTAGTGTGAAATTCAATGATGATGGTTGTGGTCTACCGTCTCTTCTTCGTGACGAATTCTTACTTGTTCTATATAACTTACAAATCCAAGTACACGTATCTTCAGGCGAAGCCGATCCTATGATTGTGAAAATGGCTCGCAAACACGATGCCTATATTGTTGCGCGTGATTCAGATTACTATCTATACGAAGTCAAGAAAGGATATGTTCCACTTTCGTATTTGACATTTCCAACACTTGATGGACGATATTATCATATGAGGGACGTTTTCCAAGGTATGACACAAAAAAGTGTGGCGCTCTGGGCAACAACTATTGCTTTTGACTTTATTGATCTTGAAGCTATACAGGTACTGTTTCATTTTCATTTGTGTATGGAATAAGTTATGTTTTATTGCAAATTTTAGAATCAGTGTTCTATGATAAATGCATTTGACAAAAAACAATTCAATCGTTGGTTGAAAAATACCGATTCAGACGATGAGAAACAACGAAGACTCAGTTGCCAGTTTAGTCTACTTCGTTACATTCAACAAGTGGGTGAAATTGAAGCATATAAGAAACTAATCACATTGGTTTCTCAAAATCAATTAGAATTCGATGATGCAATGCAAAGTCACATCGATCTTGCGTTCGAAACATCACTAATGACACAACATGGCAACGAAATTCCTGAATTTCTAATTAAACTTTACAGCAATGGCAAGCTTGATCGTGCTGTTATTGATATTCTCGTTACCAGACAAATCTTACACAATTGGCAAGGAACTAATTTAATACATTTTAATTTACTTCTACCAATGTGTCACATCCTTTTCAAATGGGATTATTCGAAAGCAAAAGCTACAAATCACTCGTCTACTGTGATTTTCAATGAACAAACATTCAATCCACTTGAACTTATTCCATCTGATGATTTGCCTTCATTTGATGAATTTCTTTATTTCGATGAAAGCAAAAGAAAAGGCTTTGTTTTGGGTTGCGTTGATTTCGCTCTCAAATCTCTGGGATCTCTCAAATGGGACGATGTTCATCGAGATTATAAACTTTGGCTTTGTCTTCTGAAGCTCTGGCTTCACACAAAAGAGACAAAGTCAGTTGTGGTCGTAGCAACATGTCTGGCAATGATTATTTCATTTCTCAAGCATGCTCTTCTCGATACATATGATGAAACAGAAGGTGATTATCGTAACCGAAACTTCTGCAAAGAGATAATTCAGTCATTGTCTAAATGAAATTACATTGAAAATTCCAATGAGAGGAAACAAAATTCGTTACAAGTTTTTATTTTCAATTCTTTACTTTAATAGTTGGTGAGATCTATTGATGTAAAATTTCTAAACAGCATTATTTCACTTTCACATAAATCTTTGTAGATTGAGAATTTTCATGCTTACGACAATTTCTTTCAATTTATGTTTCAGAACGATCACCAAGGAGCGAAGAATTGCTTAAAAAGCCATATATTAAACATCCGCAACGGCGACTGAAGAAATATTTTCCTCGAGATGAATGCTTCCGATTACGAGAGTCAATCAAAAAATATGCGACAACCCTGTTATCGAATGAGGACATCGAAAGAGAGTTGCAGGAATGTCAACAGTTCTATAAAGAATTGTCAATGATCAATCAGTTCTCTAATCAACCATTCCATATGCCACCACCACGGCTATGCTTCAGTCAACTCACTTATCGTCTGGCTGTAGTCTTAAGCAGATCGAATAACAGTTGGAAGGACATTAAGACTTTCTGTCAAGAAAACGAACTATTTTTTGAATTCATAAAAGAACTTCACTATTTTTTTCTGTCATAGGTTTTAATATAATAGAAAAATATACATATTTGAACAGCTATTGTAGTTTATTCCACAAGAAATTGTTGGACGAAGAACATTTTTGATAAGTTCAGCCTGTCGATTCACAATGCATGACATTGAAGCACCAAATACAAAAAAAAATACAAATGAACAATAGATTAAGACAATGTCAAAAAAAGAATGAAATTGAATTGAATCACATTTCGAATAGGAAAATTGGAAAAGGAAACAGGAAAACGAATGGATTTTTAATTTAATTATTATAAATTTCCGGTCAAATGTTCTAATTTATGTCCCAAATATCCGCATTGATGTGCCATATTTAACAAAGTCAAATTATTAAAATGAAATAATCATTTTTGTATAAAACACTAATTGATACTGCGCTAATATCAAATTTTGAAATTCGTAATAACGAAATGTACGCTGTTGTTTTAGTTCATTATTAGATTAGAGCTCTGCGAAATCAAATTTTTTTCGAGTCCGAGAAACTGAAAATCTTTAGTTAGCATATAGAACGGCTCCAAAACTTAATCATAGAGATTTAATCTTGAATTTTTCCTGTTATGGTAGCTCAACTAAAGAATCCAAATAAATCTCTATAAAATGACATGTGTTGGAGCTCTTCCGTCTCATTTTGTAGAGAACTAATTGTTCTGTCAATTAGTGTAATCAAGAAAATCTTATTTTCAGGTTCTGTTCAATGCTAAACTAAGTTTTGTGTTTTCTAGAGATTCTACACGTTTTAAAACATCATGAAGGTTTAATTTTTCTTCAATGTTTCTTGAAAACATTTTTTCTAAGCAAGCCAACGTTTAAATTCTCGATGAGAGGTACCATTCTGAAAAATTTGAAACGAAATTCGTATGACTAATTTTCGGAGAAGTTGTCAGAGAACTGAGAAATCATGTTTTCTAAACTTCAGTGCTCAATTTTTTTACTTTACATTAGCTACAACTTATGTGTACGACGATGTTATGTAGAAAATATATCTAATGATGCAAGAGATAGTAGTCATGCTCTTTTTGAAACAAAACGTTGTTACAGAGTATTTTGCTAATAATATTATTCATATAAGTAAAAGATCAAGCATAAACATTAAAAGAATCCATAAAAGAAAAAAAAAGTTGATACAATGCGAAACTACTACACGACAGAAGCTTTTAATGTGAAATCACACACAAATGTCAGAACTTCAAGTTTTAGTTATGGGAACGGCAATGCTCTGCAAGCTAGATTGGATTGCTTGGTTTTGAAAGATTCCATCAGCAATTTGTTGAAACACAGCCATCACCTCGATCTGATGTGCATTAATATAGTTTATCCGTTTGTGTGTCGGTACCGTCACTAGAATTTTTATCATGAGCCACAGTAAACGCCAGTTATGAATAGACAGATGCTTGTACTTGCGCATGCATTGACCTACAAATGCTTGTGCCATCACTACTGAATCGCCTTCAGCCAGACAACTTGCGTAGCAACCAGCGTGAATCTCCGCCATATGTGTGTATTCCAAAAATGATTCCGCACCGAACAGTTCACGACATTTGGTGACGATTGATCGACATAAAGGCGGTACATAGGCTTTAATCAAGAGAATTTCATCAATATTTCGTTCTAAGAGCTCATCGGTATTGGTGGTCATAGACGGATCGATTTGAAAACGTTTGATCAACCGACGAAAGTAACAGTCCATTTCACAGACTTGTTGTAGCATGATTCGCAAGTGATCTGTAATATAAGAGAATTGGCATCGTTTGCTATTGTAGACTTTTGTGATGACAAGGTGCAATGCCATTTTGGCGCATACAAGAGCGGTGGCTGATAGACATAGCCGACCTACCAACAACCGATTGGATAATTTGAAGAACAATTTTGGGCAATTGTCAGCTACCTGAAGAGCTCCGGTTGTCGTATCTAGTGAACAATATCGATCAAGCAAGCTCTCAGGTGCGGTACTGAACTCGGTGAAGGTAAGAATACCGAAACAGTTCGAACGGAAATCGGAACGGGTGGGACACCCTTCAATGCATAAACCAGGTAGAACGGTACCATTACTACGGATTTGTACCACTATGGCGACCACATGAGGTGTTAGAAATAATTTACCAATACTGGTGCTTACAGGTACTTGTTTGTTGTCGTTGACGCCGCTAACTTGACACCATTTTGCAAACACTACGGCATATTCAATTTGACTATTACCAGCGTATGAAATCCAGCACTTTTTAGCGTCTTCATTTGGTGTATGGATCACAATTTTGTTTGTTTCTCGATTATAATATGCAATGGTCTCACACAGTAGACCCGACAATACTCCAGCATTCTTTTCTGTTAATGCGAAGCAACCCAGTTTCTTCAGTTCTCGTGCGTCTTGCACTAGTGCCGCATGATTAGTAGTGCCCAACGCCGACACAGAGCCTGCAAATAAATTGAATTGAACAGTAAACCAATTCACTAAATCATTGCCATTTGTATACGCTAAACGTTCATGAATGGCTATGAGATTATAAGGATCCAACGATGCCAAGGCTCCCTGCGAGTGAAGCGTACGCACCACTACTCGTAGCTGTTGAAGTACGGTATCAGGATCGCTAGAGTATACATAGCCACCATCATTATTGCCTGGTTGTTGTGGTTTGGTATAGAAATCGGTAGGCAGGAGAGAACTATAAGTACTAGGCAGTGAATCGAGCGGACAAATATATAGACGTTTCGGACGACGAAGCTTGATAAGAGCAGTAATAACGAAATAGAGAACGAGCGGTAGTATTAAGATAGGAAGAAATTGAGTAAAAAATTCCATGACGACGAATGCAAGATATCAGTTAATAAATTGCCAAAATCTGTAAAAGAAAAACGATGTAATGTGATGATGTTCAGTCATACAAATGGGCTGATTTGTAGAACGTTCGCAACCCATTGACAAGTACGAAGACTTGTTAGCTTTATTATTTATCGACAAAGAAGAAGATAGGACCTCAGTCTTCGAGCTACTGAGTTTATTTATTTTCAACACCTTATAACGTTTAAGACCTGGAAAAAATTCTTCTCTGATTTTATCGCTGAAAAATATCTAGGAAATGAAATTAAAATATGCTTTGTTATGGGATCGAAAACTTGTAAATAGCGTCGTATTTTTATCTATTAATAGATGCCTGTGATTTATAACATAAATATGAGACCATCGGATTCAATGGTTTTGACTTCCAAACTTAAACATTAGTTGAAGGAGGCGCCAGAAAACATCATATAAGGATAAAAACCCAACAATTGCAAGGTTCATAACTTCTCTTATATCGCAATATGTAAAGCCGAGCAAGAGCTTTTTTTTCATATGAAAATAAGTTGGCAAGAGTCTCACTAAGTGATATCGTTTGACTTTTTCTAAAAAGGATCGATCGGACACTTTGAAAGTTTATAACACAACGATTGATCGGTAAATGGCCGTTTTAAAACTTTTTCAAGAATAGAATCAAAAAAACGAATGAGTAAAATGTGTCACGTCGTCAGTAAACTTATTGTAAAACAAGTCAAACAATGGTTGCGATTTTTCAACTAAAATGGAAAGCTAAACTATACCGTGATATTATTATGTGCATCAGTCTCTTCGTAACAATCTCACAATTAATTTACCTAAGTCATTCCTAATCAAAGTGATAATTTCTGCTTAGTAATTAGACCCGTACAACTCTGAATCAAATAGCGTTTGCACGAGCTATGAGCGAAGTTGTGTAGACGATCACAAGAAGCTTTCACGAACTATGTTATTCACTAAAATAATTTGATTGGCATATATATTTTGCATATCACACGAACTCAGGGGTATCTAGGGGAAGCCTCTAGAAGAGCTTCAGATTAAAGAGTTAAAGATTTTCAAACAAACAGCTTTTATATTTTGAACATTCTAAATTAGAATGAAAAATATACGTTTGCTCTACATTTCAGAGTAGTATCTACTTAAATACTAGTGGGAAAGCGATTTCCGTGTTTTTGATATTGAGAATATCAAAGTTGAGAAGAAATTAAATTTTATAGTTTATCGGATGAAGCTTTGTTCAATATTGAAAAGCTATAAAAATATGAATAAAACAGTTTTCTTTATTCTTCAGGCAAATTTTCTTGAACCCCTTGAATGCAGTTTTAATGATTGCTGATGTCATTTGTGAAGTCTGTGCATACACAAAACTTCAACACGCTGCTCGGATGTATAAGATAGGGATAATTCTTTATCTCTATTGTCACTGTATTATAAATAATAAAGATAAATGAACCATTTATCTTTATTTTTTTTCAATGGAAAACCTTTTTTTTTCATTCATTTATCTTTATTTTCTAAAGTAATACTAAAGGATCGCTTGTAGTGTAAGTAAAAGAAAAAAAAGTGTAAAATAATGCGCTCTGTAGCTTTCCGGCATC